ACAGTTTGGGCAAACTGTGAGAAAGCAGCAAACCGTTCAGCATGAAACCATCTCCTGACAGAAACCTCCGATAACTGACAGAAGGAGCAGTATCTGTGCTGGCGAGTTTCACTTATGAATACAAACGTTTAAGAAGGCTGCGACAGAGGTGGTGAGTGGAGGGACAGGGAGGGGTAAATATTCAGGGGGTCACTTCTGCATGTACAAAGCTGGAGGAGTCATCTCTTAATCGTTCAGTGTTTGAAAGCATATCAAACCAAAAATTGTCTTGTTTTCTCCTCTTCCTTGTCTTCATTATCTAGCCACAAGTCACTGGCTTCTGCTGCACATCAACTTGTAAACAAAACTGCAAAAATGACCAGTTCATACTGGAATCTGATAGTGACCACATTTTAAAAATAATGTGAACAGCCAAACAAAAAAATAGGGTCAGGGCAACAAAATCTAATTGAGCATTAAGGTTGGCAGTGTGGATGTAGCCTTAGATTTGCCCGTTAGACCTCAGCTCATACTGCATTATTGTCATACCACTCTTACTGTAATGTTTGGTTTCCAAATTAGAAATAATGTTTATTTATTTACAGCTAGTTGTAGTAAATCTGACTTTGTGCCTAATAATATAACTGCACCTACAATCACAAACATATGGGTTTTCATATTTCTTAATTTCTTTTTTTGGGTAAGGTAAAATGTAACGTACTGCAAATGGAGATATGTTTGAGTGCAGACGTTTTCACCCTTAAATGGCATTCATGTCTTAAATCAAATAAGTGAATTAAACAAGGGAATCTTTCCCATCTCGACCATCCGTTTTACACTCACCAAGCACTTTAGTAGGTGATGTACTGGACTGGACTGACCTCAGTAATAAATATAGACCAGAACTGGATTGCACTGGATTGCAGAGGTGTTCATAATCAAGTGCTGGGTAAGTTTCTATACCATTCCATTCCATACTCGATCAACCCAGTCCTGATCAGAGCTCCAGACTTAAAACAATGAAATCACCAGTGCCAGGGATGCAATGCGCATTCACTCCAAGCAAAAAAATCCTCAGTGACTGGGGTGTTGTACAGTATGTACATTTTTTTTTTTTTAAAGTTAAAAATGTTCTGTCCCCCTTTCCCAGTGTCTAAAATTATTTAAGAGAAAATGTATTAATTAGGTTTAAAATTAGGGCAGCACTAACATGAATGTCGATGTTCAAAAGATTCAAACATCACACTTTTTGAAAAGCTCGTCCCTCTCCTACACACCTGCCTCATGCAATAGATGCGGAAAGAGTTCCTTTGGTTTAAACCAATGCATGCAGATGTTCACAGATATAATATTTTTAAAGATTATGCAGTCTTAATAATAAAGGCCCAAAACGGAAAATATAATTTTGCAAGTCTTGGAATAATTAATAACAAAGGTTGTAGATGTCAGATTGGTGAAAAATTTGTAAGTTATGTAGAATTCATTTTACAAAACAAAGTAAAGAAATAATTATTGGCAACCATCAGGAAGAGGCTGCTGTTACAGGTTTCAACTTTTTTCCAGGTAAGAGGCAGTCTATTTTAATTAGAATTTACTCACCACTGAGCAATGATGACAGTGGAATACATAACTTGATAAATGATATTATGTGTCTGGCACCAGGTCTTGGATGAATTCCATTCTGAAATTGCAGACAGATTCTAAAAAGAAAAAAAGTGTTACCATTGTGGTTGACTCAGCATGGCTACCACATGGGTGATAATTATGAATAATTACATAGGATACTGTTTGTTTATGGGAAAAAAACAGCTGTTAATTTCTTACTACAATGTCACTATCTTGCATTTTCTGGGAATTAATTTCAGCTGCGAATTAAGCTATTCAGGATTTCAATCTATATTAGCAGTTTATTCTGTCATGCGCACAATGGCACATTCAACACATGGCACACATGTATTGACACACTCCCACGCACAAATACCCACCTACAGACACAGAACTCTCTCGTAGAAGAACCCTCAGGCCACTCCACAGCGGCCTTGACATTTATGCTGATGTAGCATGGCAACAGCAGATATTGCTCTGCACTCCCTCTTCATATTGTCTGTGCTTGGTGCGGCATGGTTCACTTAGTCATTGCTCCACAGCCTGGCAGCAAATAGACTGTGAACATCCAGACTGTCCATCATGGAGTGGAGTTTGACAGTCCTCTGACAGGCACGCTGAATTGATTCTTCAGGCCGGCTGTTTATTTTCGCCTGCCTTGCCAGCCCGTTGCTCTGCTAGGTCCGGTCTCTTGCTTGCATGAAATCAAGGTCCAACCACCCACCCGCTCCTCAGCAACCCACCCAACCCATCCCTGTCACTGCACTGAGCAAGTGACACTGACAAAATAACAGGGGTATGTGTTTCCCTTCTCTGTTTTCTCCAGCTATTTTCAACACAGTGCAACATGACAATGAGTTATGAATGGCAGCAGCTAGTAAAAGGGAGTGTAGCACAAGATGGGGTCTCTTGTTCAAGCACGCTTACATATTACCCAATTTATACATATCAGCCCAACGCAGACACACACACACACACACACACACACCTACACACACACACACACACACACACACACATATTTGCACAAGAAGGTTTTCCTAGGACAAATGCTCTATTTCTTCTGCTACTCCACTACCTCGACCAAATCCACCTGAAATGATGTTGCTTTATAAATAGTATGTATGTAATATGTATAACAACATGTACGTATATATCGTTTGAACACATTTGTATTTAAGGCATTAACAAACTGTTAATGCAGTCATTTGTACAGCTGACACCTGCACTACTCCTTAATGCCCCTGCAGCACTTGCTGCTTGCCATTTCACTCCCTCCACTTTCCCAGCCTCCTCCAGTGTTATTGTTAAGTGTAATTTTGTGACATTTTTCTTTGTGCATTCATGTTCATCAGCAGTGAAGGTTTGTAGGCTCAGGGACAGAGTGTCAAATTTGTTCAGGTTTGTTCACCAGCATGACATAAAGTCCCACTGCGAAATTTAAACACATTTCATGCTGAAATAAATGGTTTAAAATGTGATAGGAGTGGTCTGACTGAACTGAATGTACCTGCAAAATGTTAAGTGTAGGGCTGCTATTAGTTATTTTGTGGATTGGATGGACTGTTTAACAGTGATCATAGGATGACAGAAATATTGCCAATTATAGCTTCCCAGAGACCAATATAATGTTTTTAATCTCACAGAAATACATTCACTTTAAGTCCAGACAATTCATTTAACATTCTCCATCTGGCATTCCCCAAAGCATCAGGAATATATTAGTGAGTAGCAGCCATAAATACCTAACATAGCTTGTTTACAATCTCAGTACACTGTCCAGTTAGTCAGGAAAAATGTAATCAAACTAAAAAGTCACTGCTATGACAGTATCACCCTGACCCTCACACCTGTGTTGGTATAAGATCATGCATCTTTGTTGGCTGCTGCAGCATGCACAGTCTTGACATCTTGACTGGTTCTCTACGAAATGGGGAAAAAAGAAAAAAGAACAATATAACATCACTGACATTGGATTCAAGAACAATGAGGAAGTTTCAGTGTGTTCAGAATTTCAGAATTTGCAATAGGAGTCTCCTTATCCGCCCCATGTAATCTGTATCAATTCATAGACCTTCTGGAAGTCAGAAGTTTCTATTCCAGCAACAGAATACTTCAAGGTTATGCAGCATGTTTTATTATAGACAGAGAATTTATTAGTATCACTATAAAACTTTCTTTAATGCTCTGTTTTACTCTTATTCCTAGACACTATTAACCAGGAGTTCTCAACTGGTCTCACCCTGGGACCCACATTTTCCCATGGTCATTATGTCGTGACCCACTTTTTCTAGAATTCAATATTCAATATATTTTCCTGTGCAACATGCATTTCAGAGCATATAACCATGCATAGTAACTGGACCATGACCACTGCATGTACAAAATTACACAAAATGATAAAAGGCCACAACACAACATGTTTTCACTCCATTTTGAGCAACCATGACAACTGCATGTACAAAAGTGAATAAAATAAATATCAAAACTACTTGAAAATAAAGTTGTGGCCCAATCAGGTCATTTGTTAAAATTAACAAATCAGTTGGGCACGTGCTCTACTCTTGATTAGAGTTTCAGAGTCTGGGGTGACAGTAGACAGAGCTGCTCTCAGGTCATGGTCAGTGTCCAACCTGTTCCTCTGCTTTGACTTGAGCTGGACCAAGGTAGAGAAGCTACTGTCACACAAACAGGTTGAGCTGAATGGTAAAGATTGTTTTAACTGCAAGAGTGGCGAGGGATGGATACTCAGTCATCACATCGCTACACCAGAAGAGGGAAAGGCTTCCCTCCCCACATCTCTTTCTCAGCGTCTGATCACATGACAGCTCCAGCAGCTGATGCTCTCGTGCAGCCACATTTCATTGTCAAACAGTTCTGCATACAGGGAGTTAGTCTCAGAGAGGAATGTGGCGATTTCTTATTTAAGTTCGTAAAAGCGTGACAACACTTTGCCCCTCGACAGCCTGCGGGTATATAGGGTGCACGCCATTTTGTAGGGGTGTCCGACTGTTAAGTTCCAAATGATGCACCCTATATAGTGCACTCAAAATATCCCACAATGCACCTTGAAAAGTAGTGTACAGCTGATGGTCACTAACCAAACGATATGGACCATCATGTATTGCGTCGAAGGAGAATGGCAGACGGACGGGAGCGCGGAAGCTTGTCGTACAAATGTGAGTAATTTCCCGTTTAAGTTGTCTTGTTTTTCCTGTGTCGTAGCCATTTCCTGTGTCGTAGCCATGTAATAAACTCCGAATTCGATGTGTTTGCACTACGTTTATGCAGCAGAAATGTTAGCTTAGCCTCTTCCATATAGTCGTTGCCGCTAAGTTTACAGTGGATGAGTGTATAATTTCTAAATGGTACGTGTGGAATTGCATGGGTTCACCACACAATCGATCATCAATTCATTTTCTCTAAAGGGACCGATGACGACGTGGCAAAACTAATTCACCTGAGAGGTGAAAAGGAGCACCTCTTCTCAGGGAAGCGTTTTGCGTCAGCAGCTGGATGGGAGTGAGTACCGTTAAATTCCTATGAAGACATCAAGTATTTTGTGTATTTATAACAAAAGTAGAGCTGAATTTTAACTTGGAACTAAATTACTGTCTATTATCGTTGTTAATGACAGCAACCGACCCGTTTGGCGTCTTTCTATATCAGTTTGAACGATTATATTATAATAATATTCTGTATTATTATATCTTGTAGAGCTGTGTTGAAAGACATGGGCCTTGCTGGCCTGGTGAGTCCTGCCAGAGCCGCCAAGAAGTGGGAGAACCTCAAAAAGACGTACAAGGTTTGGATTTACTGTATTTAACTGGAGTCTCAGATCATGAAAGCACATATGGAAGGAGGCAGTTAGTGTTTTCTTTGCTCTGTTTGGGATTTGAAATAAACGCTGCCTTAACTGTGTGTTGTTAAGACTTTGTAATGAAGATGGAAAATGTATACTGATGTAAAGCTTTTAAGTATATGTATGTAAGTAAAGTATATGATTTACACCTTTTATTATAATTTATCATCTATTATATATTTTTTTGTTTTAAATATTATGTGTGCAGGAGCTGAAGAAGCCACCAACAGGAAGTGGCACTGAGTCAGGTAACCCACGGCTGGAACATGGAAGGGGTTCTCCCTCATGGATGAGGCGATAGGAGGGAGGCCATCCATTAGGCCTCCCTGTCTCATTGCCTCAGCCTGGGGGGAGAGCCCTTCCACGTCTGGGGTGGGATCATCTGATTCAGTGTTCAGTGCGACCTGAGAGTCAGACTCTGGAGCCAGGGGCAGAGTCAGAGGTGGGGTCAGGGGCAGAAGAGCCACGGCCGGCTAAGAGGCAGCGGCATGACCCTGTCCTGGAGCTGCTGCAGAGGGCAGAAGAGAGGGCAGAAGAGAGGGCCAGGCGAGATGAGGAGAGGGAGGAGAGACTTTTGAATTTATTGGAATGAATCATTGATAAAAATGTAAAATTAAAAAATTAAAAAATTTAACTGTTTGTTTGTAATATTAAAAAATGCAACTGTTTATAAAAAAAAGAACAAAAGAACATTGACTGATCAAAACAAATTTCTGTCAAGAAAACTTGAACACATGAACATTTCCTTAACTTTCAGATAAATTCAAGAGATTTGAGGAATGGTCTACGGATTGAAGGCTGATTTGATAATCACTATTTACACTATTTGCAAAACCAATTTAAACTATTTACATGGATGAAAGTTTGATGAGAGTTTTGTGTTCCCTAATTGTAGTCGTGCTCATTGAGAGCATCAGGAATGCTGGTTGGTGCTGATAGAGCAGCAGCGATGCGTCCACGCAGCTGCTCACCACAATGCATGTCGGGCTGAAGCTGACCACCTTCATCATCTGTCCCCATTTCCTCCTCCACAGGCTCAATTATGTCTCCATCTCTGAGACAGAAGTTTTGCAAAATGGCACAACATGCAATGACCCTCACGGCGAAAACAGGATGAACTTCCAGAGCCTTGAAAAACACGGAACGCCACCTGGTCTTCATAATGCCAAACGCCAATAACAGACCGAGCCTTTCTTTGCATGGTGTCTGTTGAACTTGGCTGCCACTGGATGTCTCACTGGCTCTCTGTATGGTGTGATGAGTGCAATTGGTTGTGATGTACATGAGTATCCACCATCACCAAGAATACAGTACCCCTCAGGTGGGTACAATCTGCCGACATATAGTGGGCTGTTTTTAAGAACTCGAGCGTCAATATGTCCAGAAACTGACACTGGTGGTCACACACTGCTTGCATTTGATCCAAAAAAAA